TTAACTGTCACCACACTAATCAGTGAAGAGGCAGACACTGTGAAACGGCACTGCAGGCTGCAGAGACCTGCTCCCCTCCCAGCCACTTCAATTTTGTTTCTGGGAATTTTCCTTCTTGGTACTCCAAAGTAATTCTCCATTGACCTACAAGTGAACAGCGGGCTAACTAACCCAGGTCTCTACTCAGACTCAAATCCAGCCCACATGAACCCCTGCAACCTGCACAATGACTAAGAGTCCCGCAGGCCTCAGGGCTGCTGTTGAGCAGGAAGATTCCTCTCCCTTTCCTGTGACCTGAAACCAGAGGGAAGACAGTCCCTGCCCTTCTTGTTCCTAGCCTCCTCCCTCCCAGTGGAGATACTGACCAGGGACACTCCACACTCAGACTGTGCTGGCTTTGGCAAACCCCTGAGCTAGCTCCAGCCTTGCCAGATTCAGGGAGCTCAGAGAAGTCACTACCGAGTGCCTCTGGCTTCTGGAAATGGGGCTAATGCTCAAAGTGAGCAACTAGGGTCTCTTCCCACTCCGACAAGTTGGCCTATCTCAATGCTAGCCACCTCTCACTGTCTTATCCCAGAAGTATTTGCATGGAGAGACTCCACCAAGACCCTAGTATAGGGTAACATGTTTGGAAGCTCCACCTTGGCTAACCTGTGTTTGGAATAGCTGAGCTCTGCACAGATGCATGCTACATTATGAACTCAGCAACCTATCTCCCTTTTTCTTACTGCTAACTTGGGCTTTCCCAAGACTCAAGTCACCATTTCGTGCCCTAGGAAGTATAGATTATTTTTCCACTCAGTCTTCTTCAGAAGACTGTGAGTGCAGGTACTAAGCCAAACGCACAGGCCATGCCCTGAACAGAGGGGCTTGACAGGCCTCCCTTCTGTAATCAATTTGTTTATTTTCTCAAATGTGTTTTATCAGCAGCTTTGGGCTACTGCACCCTAAAACTCAACTGCAATGAGACCTCAGGGGTTCTGAGCTTGACCCGGGGATTTTCTTACTGTGTGAATTTAGACTGACTCTCCTGTCATCTATGAAATGGACAGAATAGAATTCATTCTGACCAAGGAAATTTGAGGGGACATATAGGAGGACAGACATAGGGGGATGCTTTTCCTCTAGGTCTGATTCCTTTTGGTGTGATATCACACACACACACACACACACACACACACACACACACACACACACACACACACACACACAATGAGAGAGAGAGAGAGAGAGAGAATATAAAACATACTTTTATGATCATTAATGAATGGTTTTGGGCATAGTCTTTTCCAGGCTCTGGGTGATAAAGACCTACTTCCTTAGTGGGTGATGATATACCCAGACATAGATTGCCAGCAAATCAACTGAATGTCACCTGTAGCAGGGATAGGAATGGGCCCTTATCTGTGGCTGTGACTAAGAATATGGAATGAAGTCCAATAATGGTGATTCACAGGCCAGGAACTCTGTACTGAAGTAAAGCCATCTCTACCCCTCTCCCAGATCTTCAGCCACATGTATGAAGTGTTAATTAGTGATAAGAGGCCACCTGGGATGTTAATACTTCTGTGAAGGACATGGAGATACCCAGGGAGTGTTCCCATTCCTTAACATGAAGAACAGATGGTGCATTCAAGCAAGACATGCAGCACTGAATTCATTTAGGAGCTACTTTCTTACAGAGCAAAATGGCCTGACCTTGGATAAAGCATGTTCTTTGTGCTCAGTTTCACCATCTCTAAAATGGGGCTAGAAGAACCCAGAGGGAAGGCGACTACTACTTAACAATCCAGCATATTATCTTAACCCTACATTGAAATTGAAATCAAGATGCCTACACCCAAATTGATTAACTAAACAAATGAATGCTAGGCATCGTACTAGACATAGGAGGGAAGGACCCATCATCATAACAAATGATTCCAGCATGCAAGCACAGACTGAGTGCTCAGCATTTTTCTGAGGTCTATGGGGTACAGAGACAACAGTGGCCTGGTTGCTCTCTCACTGTGTTGTAATTAGAAAGGGTTCAGAATGTATCTATGAAGGAGAGAAAATGGAGCTTTATGATGGTATCAGTTTGATAACCGTAAGCAGCAAGGTAAGGAGGTACATTCTGGCGGAAGCCAATATTGCATTTGATGTATTCTTCACTCAGCTAACAGGCAGGCTTTCAAGCCGTGTTATCTGCCCCCACATCTCGACCTAATTTAACAAGTTGCCATGGGAGCCCAGTAAAGGCTGATGCAATTTTCTTATCTTTGAAGGAAGAATGTAACTGTGCAAGAGAATGTGAAAATTCAGTTTCTAACTGATCTCCACACTTACAGTGCAATAACTAAGATATCACAGGAAGAAGGAGAAGAATGTATTCCTGTGGAGATGATACGGGCAGAAACCTCAGCCCCTAGTCTAGGGCAGGAGGCTATACCCTCTTCTCAGCTAGGTGCATCTGAGCGCATGCATGTAGTGCAGGCCAGGCAGTCACGATGGTCATGATGCAGAAGTGTGAGTGTCCCTAGTGGAGGTCACAAACAAGCAGCAGCAATTGGATTTTAGGACAGAAAAGGGAAGACCGGAGACAGAAAACGATTTTTATAAACGTGACAGAAGTACTGCCAACAGTTACACAGTGATCTCCACTTTCCAAAGGACTTTTCAAATGTCAGCTCATCCTCCCACACCGTCATAAAGCCAGACACCCATTTGTAGACACTCTAGCCATCACCTCAGGTAAGAGCCAAGGCAGGATGGGTGTATGCCATCCATTTCTGAAATGAGAAGGGCCTATAAGGCCACAGGATCAGAGAACCTGTGTGGAGACAGGAAGTGTTCTGCAAAGGCAGGGCCCATGGGAACAGACACCGAAATGTGGTCTGCTCACACACACCTAACAAACCCCAACCTTTATTTGGACCACAGCAACAAGAGAGTCCAGTCCAAGTCTAAGGGTTTTTAGAATAAATTGGACAAGACGGGAAGAAGCCCCTGGGCGGTCTGATCCACCCCCAGTTGGGGCTCATTTGCTGAAATAATCAATTTGTTACAAGTAGGGGTTTCTTCTCACCATGTCTAGCACAATGTCTAGCACTCATTTAATTAATTGATTTGGTTCAGTTGCATGTTCACACATCTCCTACTGTCAAGATAAGGGTGAACAGTTCTACTTCACTAAAGTAGAAAAAGGTACAAGGTAAATTTGCCTAAAATCACACAGTGTGTTAGAGCTGGGAGGTGGCTCAGAGGACTTCTGTTTTCTGGGCTATTGTTCTCGTCACCGTTTGAGTCTGAAAAACTTAAATCCACAGTTGTAAAGAAACAGAAACTAAACGTGGAGAGGCTTTAAAAATTTTTTTTTCAATTTGAAGAGTTTAGTCTTTGAGAAAGCTAAGTGATAATCGCTTTCCTATCTCCTCTACTTAATTGAATGTTTTAATCCCTTATCCCATTGGAGAAGGAGGGAGGGAGGGAGGGAGGGAGGGAGGGAGGGAGGGAGGGAGGGAGGGAAAGAGCCCACTAAACAATATCCAAACAAGAACACTGCCAATCATTTGAGCTCTACCCCAGTTTGCCTTTCTCTTCCCTTCTAAGCATCCCTTACCCCTACCTACTCTACCACTACATCTGGAGAGTCTGGTCCCAATTCCAGGGTCTGCCATTCTTGTACACCTTGAAAGATTTCCTGGAATTTTTCTAATCTCAAATATCTTCAATAAAAATGATTAAACCTCCCAATAATCTACTCTCCAGAGATAGAAAAAGATCCCCTTGAAATGTAGCAAGTTTCTCACCTACTAATAGCTCCAAAAAAAGACTTGGAAGTATTTCAAAAGAACACGGATCTTCAAGTGTGTCTGTGGCTCCTGACTCTACATATGGTCCTTGCTGCCACTCCAATCATAGACATATTTCCTGAACACTGTTGATGCAGTGACTACCCTAGGGGTCTTTGCGGAATGCAATATAGAGAATATATTCTTGATCTTTGAAGGAGTAATTTTTCTAAGTATATGAATTTTGTTCTTGAAGATCAGTTAATTTTTCAGAAAAATCCCAAGACTATCCTAGCACATTTTTAGCATCAGACAGGTATGTCAACAGAAACAGCACATCTGCTGTTTGTCTTCAGTCACACAGGGCCCTCAGCTGCCCCGGTGAAGGGCAGTGTAAGAGGACAGCTGCTAAAGCACACCTGAAGAGCCGAGTGTAACCAAGGCTCTTCTCTGACACACGCTGTAAGCCTAGGTAGCACTGCAGTCTTACAGAAAGGACCTGATGCTCAGCACATCACTTAGTGCTCCTTGGATTTTTCTCAGACAAACTATTCCAAGGCTCCTGGGTTGAGTAACATACGTACTGCTGCCGACATGAACAGTGAACTGCCTGGCTGTACTATCGGACTCTCCATCAAAGTCCATTCTCTGGGTTCTTTCTGAAATCACCACTATTCTAATTAGAGCTTTCATACCTGGAAGAAAACCAACCATAAAGCTAAGTTGTTGTTGTCCTTGTTGTTTTTTAAGTGGTTTGCTATGGAAATTCAGAACGGATCTGGACAGGGCTTTGAACACTGTTCTTGCATTCAAACAGCAAGCTGCTATGATAACCATACTGTGAAACTTTGCAGCATGCAGGCCATTGAACTCTGTCTTTAAGAAAGCCAGCTTCTGGTTTTATATTTGGAGTGGTCTCCCCAGAGCAAGCCAGCAAAAGTCCCTCAAGAGCTGCCGTGAGGCAGTTTCCAGAAACTCCAGATATGGAAGAAGTTCGAAAGTTAAATTTTCTACCACCCTTAAAAATGAACCCTTGAGATAGAGCGATACGATTGGCTTCCAAAACTCAGTAGTTTCTCACAAGCAGACTGGCTTGAGACTGAAGCCCCTTCAGAGACATCAACGTCACACAAAGAAAGAAGGACGCCCTTGGGTCTCTGTGCCACATATCTGACTTGGCCCACAGAAACATGCAAAGAGCCACCTAGACAGGGGCCGGGTGCCTACCTGTGTAGCCAGCCAGGGCAGCAGCAGGAATGACAGGCTTGTCCTTGTTGAGGTCAGCACGGTCACGCACATAGTCCTTGAAGGTGCCCTTGGGCTTGTGGCTGGGCAGGGCAGCGGGGTAATCCTCAGAGTCGAAGCTGTCATAGGAAGGGACACGCTGCAGGCTGTTGAAAGATGACTGGCTGCTCCAGGACTGGGTGAGGCGGTCACAACTATCGTAGCTCTCTATGCTCTCAAAAGAGTCCTGGCCCCCGAGTTTACCTGGAGGTAAAGGAGGAGGTGGGAGGAAGGCAGGGAGGAGGGGTTGGGAAAAAACAACTGTAAAAACCCTCTTATGGAGGACAGATTGCTAATCAGATCTGTAGAGGGGTGAAGGGAGAGAGGGCCCAGGGATACAGGCCCCAGGAGTCAGGAGTCTACACTAGGGGGGCAGGAGATTGGCCTGGCCACAACCTCAGGATGCTGCCACCGCCTGGTTCCTAGTTCCTAGTATAGAGACCTGAAATCAGGTTCTGTTCCTCTGATCTGTCCTGTGGATACAACAGTACTGGAACCTCGAGAATACTAAAGCCAGAAATGTAGAAGCCTGGAATGTTACTTGTCATGAGAGTCCTAAGTTAATATATTAGAGTTCATGGATTAATGAAAAACAAACAGAACACTGTCAGATTTTTTTTTTTCCAGTTCCAGCCAATGAAATGATAAGACTCCATTAGACTAAGAGCAGATTGGCCTCCCTTGACCTTAGAACTAAAGTATTACTTTTTAAGCATTTTTTCCCAAATACTAAGTGATTCCTTTGTGCCCTCTCAAACAGAGAAAGAAATTATGGAATGCCTTCAAGGAGAGAGAAAAAAAAAAAAAAACCCAACAAAGCTCGCTATCATTCTTCTAGATAGGAAACCATACTGTTTATCCTCTCGAGCACAGTTTAGTACTTGGAGTTCATGCTCCATGGGCAGCAAACGGGAAGGAAGAGGAGCTGAGGCCCACAGCAGGGTCAGAAACCCTCCACTCCATGAGCTGCTTAAGGCATTCTTAACTGACCACAAGATCATGCAAGTTCATTCACTTCCCAGACCAGGTTCTAAACAGCTGCGTGGTTGTGCAATCATTCTTGGAGAAATTTCCATTGGCAAAAATGCCATTAAAAGAGGGGCTTATGGGGCTGGAGCAATGGCTCAGAGGTTAAGAGCACTGACTGCTCTTCCAGAGGTCCTGAGTTCAATTCCCAGCAACCACATGGTGGCTCACAACCATCTGTAACAAGATCTGGTGCCCTCTTCTGGCCTGCAGTTATACATGCTGTATACATAATAAATAAATAAATCTTTAAAAAAAAAAAAAAAAAAAGAGGGGCTTATAAGAAAAGCTTAAGAGGAAAATAAATACACTGAAGATCTAAAAGGATTCCCGGGAATATTTTTCTTATGTTCCATGTTCAGCGACTGTTCAGGCAACTGGAGGCAGATCTCAGGAAACAGGCTGGCCACTTCTATCCAGCACAAGCCAAAAGATGGAAAGATGTGATCCAATGCATCCACAGAAATACCCCCAAATCAATTCGCATTGTACAAAGCTGGATAAATCCTGAAGTAAACATGCCTTGTACAACCACATATTAGCGTGCTTCTGGCATACCTCCTTCTTCCTGATAGTGAGGATTGCTTAAGAAAATAAAGTTCAAGCATAAGCAGCTATCCAAATCAAAGTTAAATACACGGGAAAGACACGGTTTTCCAAAGAAGAAAAAAATTTAAGCCCAAATCAAACAAGTACTTCTGGTCCACTCCACTGCTGTGGACACTCTACCTGTAACGCTGAAGGCAGAAAGTTCATATATCACTACCGTCTGCTCATCTGTTCACAGGAAGGAAACCTCCAGAAGGCAAACCAGAGCCTGAGGAGTGATCAGCCCAGCCTGCCCAGCCAGTACCACACTAGACCCTTCCCATTACTACTTCTTTAAGTCACATTAAATGTCTCAGGAAAGCAGCTTATGAGCAGAATGCCATAGCCTTTTTTAGCAGGACAGAAATCTCTCTAGTATCTCATAAAAAGGCGCTTTCTCATACTAGCAATGGATGTTAACTGTCATTCGATTACTCTGGCACAAATAGAGCAAAAGCCTAAGAAAGAAAACGTGTATTTTCATGAAGGATGCCCTGCCCATGGAGTCACCAGAATGTAGGTTGCTCTGTGCTTGAGCTCCCTGCAATTCCTCTTATCAGCGATTTTGGAGAGCCAGGAGCCGAAAGAGCTGCATTTAGCAAAAGTGCTAAAGTAGGCGTCACTCTCTCGCGGCCTCACCAGATGCCACTCAGCTCCGACTGTGGTTTAGAGCAGAGTGCAGCTTTCGCTTCAGTTCTGTTTCACAACCCTAGAGCTGGAAGCCTTCGTTAACGGGTATTTTCTCCAAAACATCGGCCGAATCCAACAGGATTAGCTACTCAGTTCTGCTTCTGTGTTCAACCAGGGAGGCGAGCACGCCCCAAGACAAGCACTGACCGTCTTTTCTGAGAAATGCCTCAGCAAGGTCCTTCCTCAGCTAATTGATTCCACTCCATAGCACTCTGAACAGTAGACGGGCAGCCTCACAGCCACCCACAGAAAAGACTCACACAAAGACCGGCCTTAGAGCCCAAATAAGTGGACAGAGAAGTACTTTGTATACGATCACACAGTTCTGAATACTGCGTTTATTAATAGTCAGCTAACAGTAATGTCTTTAGTCTAGACCAATCACAACACTCAGAATCAAGGGCCCTTTGGCCAGCCATGTTACAGCACATCCTCCATGCAGCAAGCAGGCCTGCACAAGCTGCTCTTCCCCTTAAGGCTATGGCCTGAGCTTGAAGGAGATGAGTGACAGAGGAGCCACAAGGAACACCTGACGTCCTTTAGCAAGTATAAGTTTGGGTTTTTAATCGCCAGTTAGGGTTTGAAGGGGTAGTGAAAACCCAAGAACCAAGAAAAGGGAAGGGAGAGAGGGACATTTACACAAACGCAAAACCAGCCACAATTGTAAAACAATATGATTGCAGATCTACCCAGATTGACAACATAGCTGAACCCCAAACCCACAGTTCAGTCTCCTTAAATACACACAGAGCCCGCCCCCTAAGGAAGAAAATGGTTCTAAGGCCTCAAGCTGCATGACAAGAAGTGCGCAGATGCGTACATACAGTTGTGAGTGTGTATTTAAATAGACACATACCCAAAAATAAAAGACAGACAGAAAGGGGAAGACAGACGTGGTCCCACCCATTCCCTTTGGTTTGAAACACAAACAACCTAGGAGTCTAAGAAGGACGATTCGGGTTCTGGTTTCGCAGGGACTTTCCCTGTTGCAAGGCCAGTTAGCTATCCTGAGCCTTGCCGGGAGGAAGTGTGAGCCTGAACACTTGAAGAGTATGGCAGCAGGTATGGCTTACAATGGCCACAGGCTAACTCCTTTTGGCTCTCATCCTTTTGGAGAGCTCTGAACAGTAGCACAGGGGGTCATTCAGTGAGTAGGAATCACTACCCTCCTCCTGCTTATAATACTTTCCCATTTACCCACCAGGAAAGGCATCTTTAGCTTTTCAGAAACTAGTGGGCTCTTCCTGGATGAAGAAGGCCCTCCTAACAGACTACACTTCTCAACAACAAAGCAATCTGAACACACTGCTCCTAGTGGTCAAATGTTTGTGTGGCCTCATCGTAAATATCAGGTATAGTCTCCCTTTGGGGCATCAGGTCAGTCAGACCTATTTTGAAACACTGACTTCACTGCCTGAGAATGTTTTATCATTATTATAATAGCCTTGTCAACCAGAGCACCTTCCTTTGGAAGCCTCTTGACCCTCTACTCCCTGGTCCCTTAGCTAAATACACACTTCCACCACACTGTTGATGACCAGCTCCAAATAAACCATTGGTTAACCATCTTGTATCTTCCCAAACCAAAGAAGTCACAAGTGGCTAAGTTCCCAGGATGAACAGCAAGGGTTATCCCAGGTACCAAGTCAGGTTCTACAGTGTGGCCCAGGTGTACCCTGAGAGGGACACCAAGGCACACATCAACTTTCAAGAAGATTATGATCTCCAAGAAAATTCCCTTAATAAAACTGCAGCCTGCTTTTCAAAATCCACCTAGAAGTATTATACAGGCCAACATTTTACCCCAATACCACAATGGATTGTTATTCCAGCAGGACCGCCAAGCTCCCTGCCATCTGTCGTGGGATATTTGTGTACTGTGTGGAGATGTGTTGCTGTGATTGGTGTAGTGAAAAGCTCAATGGCCAATAGCTAGGCAGGAGAGATAGGCAGGACTTCTGGGAAAAAAGAGAGGAACTCGGGATGACGCTAGGTGCTTGAGGGAAACACCAATGAGACAGGGAGGGAGTCAGACACACCGAATGAAACAAAGGTAAAAAGCCACTGGGCAAAATGTAGATTAATGTAAATGGGTAATGTATGTTATAAGAGCTAGTGGGACAAGCCTAAGCTAAGGCCGAGCTTTCAGAGTTAATAATAAGTCTCTGTGTCGTTACTTGGGGCTGGTGGCAGAAAAGAAAGTCTAACTACAGCCAGCATGTTGTATAAGGCTAAAATGCCATGGTAAAAAGGTCTTATTATCTACACACTCAAAAACAGAAAGGCTGAGAGTGATGAATACTGGACTGATAAGTGAGTGAAATAGGACCTGAAAAACTCATAAAGTGAGGTCATTCTTGTACACCCAAGGAATTTGAAAGTAAATTTGACCTACCACGACTGGCCCTCCCCATGCACATGTTGTCTGGAGTTAACACTTCTTGCTTGATGGTAAAGTAGTCTGTCTGCAAGGTGTCTGTCTGGAGAGGGTCCCGGAGAATGACAGAAGGGTAGTCGTTCTCATACTTGAGGGACAGGAGTTCCTCTGAGCTGATGGGATGCAGAGTCTGATAGGACTCTGTGATAAAGCTGGGCTCTGAGAACTCTGAGGGAGGAACACACTGAGCATGCTCGATACCATAGCCTAGAAAAGGAGAATGTTTACAATTGGAGAGATTGATACCTAAAGGAAGCAATTCTTACTACATATCAAGGCCCCATCACGTGATATGAGCTGCCTCTCTTAAAGAACAAAAGGAGAGTAAGTCAGAAGGACTTGATTTCAACCTGGATCCTCAACTTACTATCTGCAGCCCTTGATAAGATACCTTCCTCTTTGGTCTTAATTTACTTGTCTGTAAAATAAGGTTGATTAAGTCTTCCTTGGAGCAATGTGATGAAGAGTAAATCAGACTGTGTATGCACAATGTCTGCAACATTTGTGACACTCTTGATAACTCTTGATATCTAGTGAATGTAGTGCTATCACTGGAATAAGAACTATAATAAATAAAAACATAAAAATGACATCACACCTGTTGAACACTACCTTTGAAGGCAGAAGCACCAGAGAAACGCAATGGTATTCCTTTTCTCTGGCCACCTCCATGGTGTTCTAAGGTATCTTACACTAAAAAAAAAAACAGAAGGCTTTACTCTCTGTACTAGAGTGTGATACTACATGGGCCACTCTTCTAGATGGATTCCATGTCAAATGCTGTCATCCTCAATAACAGATAAGGAGAGCATGTGAGACAAAATCAAATCCCTAACCCAACCCTCTCCAAGCCACTATCACATATGGGATTAAATAAGTTCAAAATCTAGCCAGGGTGAACTCCTTTCCAGGTGCAGGAACTTTGTAGACTGGTAAACACACATACAAGCTGAATGCTTTTACTTTGTGAAAAGTCATACGATAATTTTAAAAAAGCAGAATATGATTAAGAAAATCTTACTTTCTATGGAATTATTATTAAAGCATCTGAGACTGACTAAGCCTTTCCAAGCTCCCTACCATAAAGAGCCAAGAGACTGAAGGAGAGTGAAAGATGGCACTTACTAATGAAGTAATCCGAGGTATAACGGGATTCTGGATAGGTAGGGTTGACTCCATTAACCTGATATGGCTTCACATCCTCTGTAAGAAACACATCAGAGAATGAAATAAAAGTAACATGCAAGCGACACTTGGCCTAAAGGATCTTGGACACAGGAGGACCCCAATGACCTCAACCTTTTTTTTTTCTAAGACATCTTCAAGCACATTAGAGGAGTTGGTGTCTTAGTTGCCTGACTGGGGCCTTGTCTCAAGATGAGATCACAAAAGTAGGCTGAGTTTATCATTTCAGTGGCTGTGAAATGAGATTTACTGTCTTGGAAGGAGACCCAGCAGATAATGACTAAGGGTTGGGGAAATGGGCAGCCCTCATTTGTGATGTCTTGGTATTTCCCTTCAGAGACCTACATCTTTAGGCCTGTCTGGGGACGGCAAGGACCTTGATCAGTGCTTACCACTCAAACTGATAAATTAAAAAACATTTCAGAAACATAGCCAGTCTTTAGGCAAGTAGATTTTTGTATCCTCCACTTTTTGCCAATGTCTGGGTTTTTATTTTTCTGTGTTTCCCTCATTGTTTTTGGAATTCAAGTTCAGGCCCAGACAAGAAGCAGGACACTGGTAAGGTGACTCCACTCAGTGAGCCATGAAGACTTGTGTAAAGTAAGAGAAGTAACATATCTCAGCCGCCTAGATGCCAACTTCCTTGGACCTCAGAAAGGAATGGAGAGCAAGCATGGTGGAGAACAGAACTGTCATGGTGGGCTCAGGATCCCCTGGCTACTTTAGACTCAAATGCAGTAGCTGTTGACACTTTTCAGAGACTGGCTGCATTTCACTACAAAAATCAATTGTAAAGGGAGACAACTGATAGGGGGTTTTCCTCAGGTATCTGCTAGCCTGCTCAGAGCAAAGGCTGATGGGAAAACAAGTTTATGCCTGCACTCAAAAAAAAAAGTTCCCAGTTAAGATAAAATGATTAAACTCTGCTTGCAAAGCTTATCAGATTGAAACATCCCCTCCACCTTTGGCCTCCAACTCCACCCCAAACAGCTATGTTCTCTGGCGGCCATGCTGCACAGATTTGATCACAGACTGGATACTGTCCTGAGCACAAGTATTCTGAATAACTCTTATGGGACACCGGCTGGGATGACAAGACTTGCCTTCTCAAATACACTCAATTCCACCCAGCTTTGCTTCAATTCCCTAACGTTACTCCATAGCATAAACGTAGCCTACAGTCTAATCTTATCCCAGAGATGGAAGCCCACAGTCCCACAGCACAAAAAAAAAAAAAGGGATGGGAAGTGAAATTTAAAAAGATTCAGAAGTAAGTAAAGTTTAAAGTGCTGATCACAAATTGGGGATAATTCCAAGAGAAAATATAGTTTACAGCACTTTAGAGCCAAGGATATGAATATACCATGACCAGTGGCAGACTGAGACTACCCCCAGCTCATGGTACATCCACTGTGGAATTCATTTAAGTTCAGAGAAGCATTGTATTAACAGACTATGTTTGGTTTCATGGTCTGGTGCAACCTGTGTGGTGTTCCAAAGCCAGCAGTTAAACCAGCTCTGCGAGGCGCCTACCACATCTTCCTCTTCCTCTTCTGAACAGGTCACTCATGTCAGTGCCTAGGGGTCAGCACCAGTGTGTTACTAAGGCTGTTGTCCACTCCTCAGGAGCAGCAGCCACAGGAGGAACCACCATATCCCTGGCCGTTCATCCACTGCTCATTTTCAACAAGAAGCTGAGGAGAAGGAATGCACATCACACTTCTATGCCTAGAGGAATAGGACCTGGGTCTCTCCTCTGCCCTGAGAGAAGGGCATACTCCTACACAAAGGAAGGTATTATATGGAAGGAGCTGTGCGCCCTGCCCCCAGTGGCTGTGCCTAGAGCTGGGGCCTGGTGACCACAGGGAAAGGGTGGGCCTGGTTACAGAGGGCAGCAGGCTTCTAGGCTTACAGTCAGCTCCAGGGCACTGCTGACTGCTGGTAACTATAATTTATTTTAAGAAGAAATTTAGAAAAATAAGTGCAGAAACACCCAAGTTTGCCGCCTGCTGCTGTTTCTATACTCAGCCAGAGCTACGGGACATGAGTCACTTGGTCCAAAAAGGTTAGAAGAGGCCGGTAGAGGAGGCTGTGTCATTACAAGGTTGCAACACCACGTCCTGATATAACCCCAGCTTTGGCTCCGAGTGTAAAAGGTATTCTACACTGCCATAATCCCAAGCCAGTAAGTGGCAGAGAAACCTGTCTTGCTAATAAGATTGGAGAAGCTGTACTCTCCTGCTACCAGAGAGTACACACCATAGATCAAGGGAGTATATATTAAGGTTATTGGGGGGCGGGGGGGAGTATCTTTGTTTTTTGTAAATCCAGGTTTTGGCTGTGGGAACTACTTCAGAAATAACTTGGATCATATTTTTGCATATAAGAAGCAGAAGTACAACCTCACTAAAAATTAAAATACGAACTCCCAATGCACAGAAGAAAAATAAACCAGCATGTATTGAGCTCTCACTTTGTGCCAGGCTCTATGACAAACACATCCCCAAGGACCATCCATGCCATGGCTGAACACCTACATACAAAGGCTGGGGCCTCTCACTGCTGGGCAGGCTTTTCTTCTACTCTTAGAGAAACCCCACACAACCCCCTCCCCCGTTTTCACACATTTACCTTTCTGCAGGATCTCTAGATGCTCCCACAGGATGTCCCCCACGAAGTCTGGAGCCAGCTCCAGGAAGCACTCTTTACCCAGGGCACACAATGCCGCTCCATCCATACAGAACTTCTGGAAGTCCACACCTTTCAGGCTGAACTCATTGACAGCCCACATCACCCAATCCCGAACATGGGTTTCTGTCCACTGCCGGGGGTCTGAGAAGAGAGATCAAATGAGGATGATGCGGTAGGTCAGGCTGGGGAGAAGACAGTGAAGGGATGGAACAAGGCTGGGGATGCTAGTGACCCTCAGACCCAGCGAGCAGCATCCCGTGATGACCAACTTTCCAGCACCTCTCATATATGTCTCCCCCCACTCAGCATCCCACCTGCCCTACTTTGCCAGGGAGGAGGAGCTGTGGTCAGCCAACAATGATTCCCTGCTTTCATTCAGGCCAAGCTTTCCATTGATCTCCTCTCTCATCTTTATTTCCATTAAAAATTTTAAAAGTCCCAGATAAGGGAACGTGCCTTCTTTAATAGCGATGGTAACAGTGTAAAGTGTTTTCCACAAACTGCACATGCCTCTGTCTGCTCTCAACTCTTCAATACACTTGAGGTTTTCATACTGGATTATTTTTTATCTTAGCCACTTAGGTTTTACAATAATCACCACAGTTAGTAATGGTAAGTCACTCAAGTGTCATGATTAGTGACAACATCAGAAAATTGTCCCGCCAAGGTTGCACCCTGCACAGGCCCTCCTTTGAACAGCAGTGATGACATATACTCTGTATACATGACCTAAGGTATGACAGAGCTGTGCCACCAAGGACACCAAAGGGACTCAGATGACAGCAGCCTCCAGTGGCCATATAACTGAATCCAAAAGGTAACTTCATGAGATGCTAGAACACTCAGGGGTCAAGTTATCCTGCTCTGCCTCTGGTCCTCAAAAAACGCTTGGGATTGTTCTTCACCCAGGTTTGGGGGAAAAATTACAAACAGAAGAAAAAATGTACCTATACACTCCAAAAATCTAACCGAAGCTCCAGTCTGGCCATGCTGGAAATCTTTTAACCGGTAGTGGAAGAGGCATGATTCACAGACAGCCTTCCTTCAACTTTCCTAACAACAAAAGCCTTCCTGCTCTTGACTATCCAAGACATGTTCCTAGGTGAACCTGACAATTCTCAGCTCACTTCTTTCGGACAACTCCAGACCCTTTCCATTCTCAGTAAACCTAAAGCACAAGCATACTCTGCCCAAGTACATCAAAGAGAACATAGCATACATATAAAGCAACACAGCACCTGGGATTCATCCATGGCAGCCCAGATTGACCCTAAAATACAATTTCCAAAACTTGTCTGCAAGTTGGAATTGTTTGAGGAGTTTACAAAATAAAGATGTCAGGAGCTGTTCAGGCTGAACTGGGCTAGTCTGGGGCCTACCTGGACGTTCTCAAAGGTCCAGAGAGTCTGATATACAGACAGGTCAGGAAACACTGTCCTAAGACCAAGATGGCGATGACAAGCTGGGAAAGGGTGGATCTTCAGTCCCTGTGTCTCATGGATGTCTGCAATAGCCCATCACTTCTGATTCCAGTGTTGCTAATCTAAGCCAGCCTCATTACAGGAGAGCCAATGAGCCTTCCCTGAGGATCTGACCCGATTGACCGGTTTTCCCACTGTAAAAAGTGTACCTTTTGGGATTCCCAGTCGCTGCTGCTCTTTCGTGAAGCCACTGAAAGTAGCTTTCAATGCTTGGGACATCATTTCTTTGCTGCTTGGAGTTAACAGGGGGACATCTGCGCATTCCATATCTGTAAGGAAAAACAAAAAACGGCATATGAAACACAAAAACCACACAGGTAATTAACGACTCACAAAGGATGAGAGGGTGTGACTGAATCAGAGAATGCAAGCTGAGAAAGAACCATGTTCACGTCCTCATCACAGCAGGTAAAATGGAAGGGGTTTTCCACAATATGCTAGGCCCCTTTGAGGAAAAAAAAAAAACCCTGTGTCTTGCTTACAATGCCCTGTACCCTGATGAACAATATATGCTTATTCTTTCTTCTGATCTCTACTATCCATGGCCCCCATTTATCCTTCTTATTCACAGAAACCATTTGTGTTACTACATATTTTCAGTTACCTCTAAAAAGAAGAAACAATATTATTCATGCAACCAAGAATTACTTGGTGCTTGAAATATGCAAGGGATTGGAATAGCACAGAACAAAACATACCAGGGGACATAGAAACAGCTTACCAAGACAGATTATTGCAGTGGATTCGGGTAATAAAAATCTATAGACACAAATGTTTAAAGACAATGTCACTACGGGTCCCAACGGAGACGATACATGCTAGCCTAGAACAGGAACTGCTGCAAGTCCAGAGCATCAGGAAAAACTTGCCATAGGCAGAGATAGTTGACGTGAGATCTGAAGGACTCTCAGAAATTAAGGAAGAAAAGTATTCTCTAGCCTAGCTGACCTCAGTGTGGTGCCCCAAGCAGACATCAGCCTCGCCTGGAAATGAGCAGATACAAATTTTCAGTTTCACTAAAACCCTGACAGCTTGTCTGCTTTCCAACACAAAATCCAGTGGTAAACACTGAACTTAAGCAACACAATCTTAGGCACAGCATAAAGGAAGGGCATGAGATAAGAGGTATCAAAAAGACGGAAGCAGAGGTTCTTTGCCTCCTTGGTTAGGTTTATACCAATATTTTGTTTTTAATTTTTATTTTTTTATACTAATGTGAATGGGATTAGTTCCCTGATTTATTATTTATTATTTTCTCGGTGCTTCTGTCATTGGTATATAGACAGGCTGATTTTTTTTTTGGTATAGTTATTTTGTATTCTGTCACTTTGCGGGAAAGCTAATTGGTTAGGAATTTTCTGTTTATGTACAGTATCATATCACCTACAAACAGGGACACTTTGACTTCTTTTCCTATTTCTATCCCTTTTATTTCCTTTCGTGTGGTCTAATAAGACGTTGGGCACTATACTAAATATTAGTAGAGATAGAGGACAGTCCTGTCTCCACACCTCTTGGTTGAGCAATATAGAGATATCAAGCTAAAACAGAGCTAGAAGCTTTCTCCCCTCCAGCTAGTCTTCACAGTCCTCAAAAGTGCTGTGCAGACTGCTGCAGAAAAGGCAGCAATGGTCTTACACAGCTGTGGTCCCTACAAGCTACAAGATCAAGATGTGTTCTCCTGTGTAACAGTGGCACTGCTGTTATGGGGTAACCAACTCTTCTCTGATTTTGATGATGCTCCACAGGACAGCATCCATGCCCCGTACAGTAAGCCCTACAAAAACCCATGGATGGGAGGTCTTAGGCTGTAGTGGGTAACTGGATCCTGCTGTTTAGCTAAATTGGTATAGTATCAAACTGCCTTCTAAATATTTATGTTTATGCTCATCAACAAATGCTACTCCCATCCTTAATCAGAGAAGTCTCTTCTGCAGAAAATGGCAATGAATGAAGAGACTCATAGCTACACAAGGTGCTGAGAGTAAGTGACAAATGAATGTCAGCCCTAAACAACACGTTTACACCGTCCCCTCTAAGGTACCGGGAACAAAGTAGGAGAGGGGACAGAAACAGTGTAAGAGCTAGAGGACACAGAGAAGCGCTACAAAGTATCTTCTGAGGGAGGCACGGTCATTGTACTCTCAAACACACAGTAGCTGTGCAGGCCTATGCCGGGTCTTCCTAAGAAGAAGTTCCTCAACAGGCCAGCATGGATGAGAGAGAGGCTTAGGGAGCCCTACCCTTCCTTCACTGTGAATTATTTGCTGGATAGATTCAGGCAGATGGGGTGTCACTGTTTTAGTTGTGTACCCAGTGGTGACCCCACCAGGTTCCAATGGATAGTTCCACACCAAAGGTCGCACAGATGGCCCTGGGTAAACTAATGGAGTCACAAAACAAAAGTGAAAGTCAAAGCTAGGAAAGAGACTGCGGAGAGGATTTCCAGGAATGGGAGGGAGATAAGAGGGGGATGATCAGAAGACAGAGGAGGGGAGGGAGACGGAGAGAGGAACAAACTTAATTTTCAAAGTTACAGAAAAGGAGGGGAAAAAAGCTTGTAACATAAAAAGAAAAAAAAAGATGAATGACTGTCGAATCGGAGCGATCAGGAGGGCAGCTGGCTGACATGAAGTTGAAGAGCTAAGTGAAGACAACGTGAAAGACTAGGGCACCTTATCCTGAGGAAAACAGAAAGCTGCCGAAGTTTAGCCAGAGCAAAGGCCTCCCTGCACTGTGAGTCTGTAAAGAGTGGTTTAGGTGCACCTGAGTGCACGTAATGGGACTAGTAAGAAAGTGGCAGTATTTGTTCTGCTGAGAGACGGTAGTGGCTTTGACTAGGGAAGCAGTATTGCTGATAAGATAGGCAGGCAAGCCTGAAGTGTATACAGGAAGTCCCAATTTATGATTGATGTAGGAGGGAAAGGGCAGTGGGGCTTCCAATCCTGCAGACCTGCCAGGATCATCAGTTGCCAGACCCCACACAGTTTTACACTTCCACACTTGGAGGCCTTGTTCCCAATATGAGTACATGCACACAGCCAACATCAAGCATCTTCTAAACGCATCTTGAGTCAATTTCTCCCCAGAGTTAAACCCTCCTAGCTTTTCTGTGACTTTTTGCAGCGACTACCTTCACTGTCATGACTTTTAGCAGCCTGAACGGCCAGTGTGCCCACATGCAGAAACTGCTGTCAGATGCCTGAGTCCAGAAGAGGACACTACAGAAGTTCCTCAGCTAGCTTGTTCTAGAAGTTCCTTGGCTAGTTGGAATGAAGGAGGAGAGGGAGGGACAGAGGGAGGGAGGGAGAGAGGGAAGGAGGAAGAAAAGAAGGAAGGGAGTCGCTAAAGAGAAATGATGAGAATTAGTGACCTCCAAGAAAAGGAGCCACTATATTGCCTCTGAATGTCAAAATGAACTGAGGTAACGCCGCATGCCTGCGGACAGCTTCCAGCCATGCTGCCAGGGAGCAGCCCAGTGACTGGGCCCTCCTAAGAAGAAAACAGTTCACTTTAGCTACGCTCCCGAGCCCTGCCAGTGACAAGGAATCTCAAGTCCCAGAGAGTGTTTGAATTGCCTTGGAACATTCCAAAAAAATTCTAAAGGAAGAATCAGCATGCCTCCAGGAAGGTTGACAAAACGATGGAAAATCCCAGATTTGGGAATTTAAAAAAAAAAAAGGGGCTCAGGGAAGGGATAATTGTTGATTACATAATATCCAGCCCTTCAAACAATGGAATAATGATCAAATAAGTCATTAAGAAACACATCAATGTTCCCCATTCGTCCTTATTTCACCAATCTGAGAACAGCTAAGTGACATACAGTATCTCCCCTTCGGAGCACAAGTCAATTTTACTCCAGAGAAAGAGGCCCTTTAGCTAAGCAGGGAGCATGTCTTGGGAGTAGGGAAAACTCTGACATCCCAGGATGCTAGCACAAAGCTAAACATATAAGTCAATCAACACATACTTTGTGAATTCAGTATTTCTCAATTGAATCAACTTTGTTCCCTTCGCTCCCATTCGATCTAAATTCAGGAACTTGAATGGGGTGGGCTTTGCTCTCTGTCTTTGTTCCCTCCATCAGAGTAAAAACTTCAAGAGAAGGACTTCACTGATAGTGGAAACGGGCTAGAGCCACATGTAGAAAATGTAGGCCAACACTAACAGAGTGTCTGTGGGGCTACCATGACTCCGGCAGGATGGCTCCACATTATCTTCTAAACATGAAAGCTGGGGCAATGTGATGCCCTCCTGAGAAGACAGCCAAGAGCAAGGACCACAGTAGAGAGCATGAGAAGGAAGATGCCCTGAGGCTGCATCCTCTACCTACAGCACTCTGGCAGTCTGCTCTGACCAGGAGTGCTAAGTGGATGCTTTTTCCATGCAGGTTTCTGCTTCCTGTTGGGGTAGCAAGCATTTCCATATTCTCACTTCGTTTTCTCTAATGGAAGCGTCTGGAACCACTTTGGCTTGTCCACCTCAATGTCACCTCTAAAAGTCTAGTTCACATGCAGCCACCTGGCTCTGTCCCTCCTGTAGTGAGATCTAAGCTCTGGGTCTCCTAGGAAGATCTCCCAAGCCTATTAGAGAAAACGATCCCCACATCTGAGACACTTGCATTGGGATGTGAGCCCCAGCAGGCACCACTGTCATTGTTCTTGGAACCAAAGGCTGTAAAAAAGAAAGCTAGAACTTTTCTGTATTTGTAAAGTTCAAGATTTAGACTTCAAAAAACCAGATCCTTTCTTCACCTAAGTGAACAGCTGGCTGGGTTGTCTTTCCAGTGGTGTGGACACTGCATTTAAAAAATGATCAATAGCTGGGCATGGTGGTGCATACCTTTAATCCCAGCACTTGGGAGGCAGAGGCAGATGGATCTCTGTGAGTTGGAGGCCAGCCTGGTCTACAGAGTGAGTTCTGGGACAACCAAGGCTGTTGTCTGTCTCAAAGGGGGAAAAAAAAAGGATATGTTAAGCTTGTTACTTAAAAAGACCAATACAAAAGGTCCCTCAATATTATCTGTGATTGTGTAAGTTCTGGTAATTACTCATATCAATGATGATGATGATGAAATCATTAGGTAGGTGGAGAACCTGACATGATTTAGGAAAGCAGACATTACTATTGTTCCTAATTTATCTCATTACTGTAATACTTTGCATTATTACAGATACTTTCTAATCTTAGAAGCAGCATCTGGACATTAATCAGTACCTCTATGAACACTAATTGCATTTCCTAGAAAAATACTGAGATTACCTTT